GCGCTGGGCCTGGAGCTCTGCAGCCAGTTGCTGGGCCTGCAGCTCCACCTGCGGGCAGGGAGGGACAGCTGTGCTGAGAGGAAACACAGCCAGAGCCCCTCCCGGGGTGGGGGGGTGGGGCAGGGACCTCACCTCCTGCAGCTCTTCTTGCACCTGCTGCTCAGCCTCCTGGTCCTCGGGCCTGGGCTCCTCCCGGCTCAGCTCCAGCCACCGGCGCAGGCTGCTCGCTTGCCGCTGGTAGGACCTGAGGGGAGACGCCTGCTGTTCGCCTCGGTGGCGCTCAGGCTTGGGGTGAAGCATGTGCTTCTGGTGCAGGGGTGCCTGTTCCTCCCCTGCCTCCACACTGTCCAGCAGACGCAGCTCGGATGGGCCCAGGGACCCCTTCCTGTCCCTCCATGGCTGCTGCTTGTGGGGAGGGTCTCCAGCCTGGCCTTGGAGGCGCAGACTCTGGACCCAGAGCACAAGCAAGACAAGCCACTGCGTGCCGCTGGGGCCCAGGCCAGTCGTACCTTTTCATCCCACGTCACGATCACTGGGCAGACTGCTGGCACAGCCACGTTAACTTATGCTCAGCTTTGTTGCCCCCCCCCCCCCCCAACTCACAGGTAAGGCCAACAGCCCTCCTGAGCAGGACTAAGGGTAAAGGGGCCACCTGTGCTCCGGGGCTGGCAGGTGAATCACCCCAGGCCCTGGCAGCACCCCCAGCTGCTCCCGTGGGCAGGGTGTGTGTGGGCCTCACCGGAGGCTCTGCTTCATGCTCTGGTAGTCCTGCAATTGCCGCTGGATGCTCTCAAGCTCAGCCTCCAGGTCACTGTGGCCCAGGGCAACAGGACAATGAACTTGTCCACGCTCCCAGCTGGGCTCAGGCTGAATGGAGGGGACCCAGGCGCTGACAGATCTCAGGTGCCCACCTGTGACGGCCTCAGGAAGGAGCGGACAGGGGTCGGGGACGCTGGCCAGGGATAGAGGGGCCTGGGGCATAAGGCCAGGGGAGGTCAGCCATGCTGATGCCTGTAAAGGAAGGATGGACACTAAGCAGAGAAGCTGGAGAAGGCTGGGACAAGAGCCAAGGCTGCCCACTGCAGGGGAGGGTCGAGGAGGCCCCAGGAGCTGGGCTTTGCAGTGTCCCGGCCCTGCCCTTCCTCCAGGGCTGACGCCAAGCACCCCACACCTTCACAGTCTGGCCCACTCTGCTGAGCCTGGCTGAGCACTGCTCCAAGCAGCTGCTTCAAGCCTTCCTGGCCCTAACCCCTACCTGTCTCTAGGCTGTGGCCTTGTCTTTCAGTGAGAAAATGACCAGAGGCACTTGGAAGTGTCCAGCCGCCCACTTACAACCCTCCTTCCCTCCTGGTGAGAGCAACGTCCCCTCCTGTCACCCTGCCCCTCAGCACTCCCGTGGCTCTTGAGACCCCAGCTCCTTGGGGTGGCCCAGCCCCAGGCTGTCTCCTGCTCCTGAGCACTCCTGCTCTCATGCCTCCATCCCAACCCGATTTCTATTTTCAACTTTGATCTCCAGACCAGACTTCTTCCCTGAAGGCCAGGCTCACAAGCCTGTTGCTTTATCTCAAATGTGACAGGTTGGACACACTTCATGCTTCACCCCAAAGGGGACCCCAGTGTTCCTTCTTTCAGTGAAAGAACTCATCCCGAGGGATCCAAGCCAGCTTCCTTCCTTCACTGGCTGCAAACCCATCAGAGCAAGTCCTGCCTCTTCTGCCTCTCACCAGGGTCTTGGCCCAGGTCTGCTGCGGCCAGCACCTGCTGGGCGATCCATCACAGCAGCCAGCCAGCCTCTAGGACTTCCCTCTCCTTAAAGCCAAACTTCCAGCAGGGCCTGCACGGCCAGCCGTGACCTGCAGTCTGCCTGCTGGTCTTGTCCCCTCAACTGGGACATACGTAACCTTGGGAGCAGGGGCCTGGGCTGGGGGAGGTTGCCAGCAGGGAGTGGCCCAGGTCTGTCTTGCTCTGCTTGCCTCACCCCCTCCCTCCAATTTCAACCCTAACCAGGGCCGGGCCCTGACAGGCCTGTCCCCGGGAGGTGGGACAAGCAGCTGCATCACCAGGGTCGCTCCTGAGGGGGGGGCGGGGGGCAATGAATGTGTTCCAGAAGCAACAAGTACAGCTGTGGCTGCAGCACCAAGTGCATGAACCCTGAAGGATGGGAGCCCAGATGACCAGGGAGGACTCACCTCAGTGGGTGTGCCCACCCCACAGGGCATGAAGGAGGAAGGGGGCAGCAACTGCGGGCCTGTACTCGCCATGGGCACCAACTTCAGGCCAGAGGCGCTTGGCAGGGCCCCAGGCTGGGGCAGGGCGGTGCCTGGGACCAAGACTGTCTGGGCCTTTTCTGAGAAGGGCCTCGTCAGGGGAGAGCCTGTGGGCGAGGCCAGGCCTAGGTCTCGCTCCCTCGGCGTCTCAGGCCTGAGCAAAGGGAAGGCAGGAGCTGGTCAGGCCTCAGCATCCTCCTGAGGAGCAGGAAGGAAAGGGGGCCACTCACCCTCAGACCCCAAATCACACGCCCTGGATGGAGGCACCATGTACTTTGGGGGCCCAAGACCCCATGACCTACCCCCGTCCCCCGAGGCTGCCACCCCCCAGGGGCCTCTGGCTCTGCAAAGGCTCCAACAAGAAGTTTGGACGTCGTGGCTGCTTCCTTGCGGAGCGGACGGCACTGCTGGGAAGAAACAAAGCCTGTTCCTCCCGCTGCCCAGGGGCCTGGGACTCTGTGGGGTAGGGGTCGTCATCCAGCCCAACCCCCCAATCTTGTGGGGAGACTGCAGGCCAGAGAAGGAGAGGCTCTTGCCCAAGGTTGACATGGGAGCTGGGCTAGGCCCCGGCCACAGAACTTCGGCATCTCCATGAAGCGAGCCTGCTCCCTCACCCACATCATCTCATTTGACCTCCAGCGACCCTGTGATGCAGCTGCTTGTCCCACCTCCCGGGGACAGGCCTGTCAGGGTCCGGCCCTGGTTAGGGTCGGGATTGGAGGGAGGGGGTGAGGCAACTCCCTGCTGGCAACCTCCCCCAGCCTCAGACAGCACGGGGCTCTCCGGGAGCAACAGCTACAGCAGCTCAGTGTGCAGCTATAGGGCAGGTGCCACAGCATAGAAAGTGGGGTTCCCGAGAAGGGGCCCCATTTCCTGGCTGTAAGGGTTGGCGGGACACTGGCAGGCTTGGGGTAGGAGGGCAGGGCTGCCCTCCTTTTGCTAACTCCTGCGCTCGGGAGGGACAGGTCCCACTGGAGAGAAGGCTCCCAGCGTTCTCCGTTCTCCGTGGGACAGGCCAAGCTTCTGCCCCAGGTGGGAGCAGAGGGGCGAGGCGAGGGGTGGCTACTCACAGCTCCAGGAGTGGGGGGTCCCCGGCATCCAGGGCCAGGCTACCCAGAGCGCCCTGTGGCCCGCGAGGGGCTCGAGGCCTCCTGGTCTCCGGGGCGGCATCTCCAGCAGCAGCGCTGATGTGGTTGGGAAGGGGGCCCCTGAATGTCACTCTCCTGCTGGGCACAGTGGAGGTGGGGGGAGGCGCCCGGCCGGGGCCCAGCACCTTCTGTTTCCAGAGCATGGCACAGCGGTGGACTGCCCGGTGGAGGCTATGGGCCACCTGCAATGGCCTCTTGTCAGGTCATGCCATGCCCTGCCCGCTCGCCCGAGGCAGGGGAACCCGGGCCTACCTGCACCTGCTGCTGGGCATGCAGCTGCTGCCGGAGGGCCTTCATGTCCGCTGTGAACCGCAGGAGGCAGGTGGCGCCCTCCTGGAGGAGCTGCTGGTGGTAGGCCTGCACCGCCCGCTCCAGCCTCGCCTTCCTCCTCCTCCTCTCCAGTACGAAGCCCAGCCACGCAGCCCACACCTCCAGGAGGGGGGGAGGTGAGGCCCAGCTCTCCCTTCAGGACCCTCCAGGGGCTATGCCCACAGCCCAGCCTGCCCTCCACCAAGGCACAGCGCTCCCCCGGGGAGGAGCTGGGCAGCGGGATGCGGAGCCCCAGTCAGTACCTTTGCCTGAAGCGAGAAGGCCCAGAGCCACAGGGCCCGAGCTGTGTCCCGCTGCTCCTGCCGCCTGTTCTCCAGCTACAGCCAGAAAGAAAAGATGACAGGGAGGCCCCCCGTCACTCGCAGACCCCGCTCTGCCAGGCCCCAAGGGGCTGGATCAGGGAATGACCCTCGGGAAGGGCACGTGGGGCAGCACGCTGGGCTGCAGAAGCACAGGGAACACCACATGGCAGTCGGAGGCTCAGCAGGACGTTGGCACATGACGGTTGGCGGAGCAGGGCACAGGCCCACCCGGCATTTTGCCAAGACCTCAATAAGACTTAAAATGCGTCCCGTGCCCTGGCCGGTTTGGCTCAGTGGATAGAGCGTTGGCCTGCGGACTGAAGGGTCCCAGGTTCGATTCTGGTCAAGGGCATGTGCCTGGGTTGTGGGCTCGATCCCCAGTAGGGGGCATGCAGTAGACAACCAATCTATGATTCGCTCCGATCATTAATGTTTCTCCTCCTATCCCTTCCTCTCTAAAGTCAATAAAAACGTATTTTTAAAAATGCGTCTCATGTTGATTTTTGGATATTACCCTGACGTATTTTTAATGAGACACAGAAACGGCCCTGAAGCGGCTTGGCCGTACAGTCACGGGTGGACGGGAGCTGGCGCTGCCCAGCAATGTCAGGGGGCGCTCTGGGGCGAGGGCTGCTCGGCTCCCACCTGGTGTCGCCACTGGCGGAAGCAGGACCGGCTGAGTATCTGGGCCCGGAGCTGGGTGCCCCGCCGCTGCAGCAGCTGGAAGAGAGGACACATGCATGGGAGATGCTTCCAGTGCTACCAGGTGCCCTTGCCCAGACCACCCGGGGGCAGCCACAGGTGAGGCTCCCCACCCAAGCGAATGGCTCTCCCATTGCCAGGTGCCCCGGCTCGGACAGGCCATGATTCCGAGTGAGCCAGGTTTCTCTTTCACCTGGAGAGACCCCTTTAACCTCGGTCCCCGCAGCCATGCCTGGAGGCTCCTGAACCGTGTGCCCACAGGACCCGAGACCACCCAGCACCCGACTGGTACTGTGAGTTCTGCAGAAAGGACCTTTCCTCCCCGGAA